AATTAATATAATTATATAATGATGTTATCTTTCACACGAATAGATACTCCGATTGAAAAATAGCAGTTAATGACAAACGAAAGATTAAACTTTCCACTAGTTTGAACTTATCAAAGATAAATATATGAAACGGTATTTTACTTTAATTCAGGGAGATATTCTGGTCCCTGATGAATGGCAAAATCGAAATATCATTGGGCGGATAAGAAGATTGTCAGAAGTTGCCATTTGATGAAAAAAAATATTAAGCAGAAATATATGTTTTATGTTTATATTGTTAAATAAATTTAAAGATTTTGTCACATGTTTTAAATTACGATGTAGTAGGCCTATTTGGTATCTGTAATACAATTGCAAAAGAAGGGTTATGAATATTTACACAATAAAATAGTGTACTGCAAGTGCCCGATCTATTTTCAACCGTCAGTCAAAAATATCAGATTATACACTTGAACAGTCAGTCATTCAGCGTAGTGTGTCGTTTTCGATTTGCTTACTGTTTAATGGAACTAAAATAAAAATATTGTTAATTAAGAAACGTTCGGATACAATTTTTAGATTCAAGGCTATTATTTATTTGATTTATTAGTGTTATTGATAAAACTCTTTAATTATAATAGTACTCGTTGAAAATTCAAATTCGTCTCCTTGTGAAGACGACTTAGTCCACAACAAATGGAGTGATTTTGTTGTATAGCAGTCGGTAGGCCATTTCCCAATTCTTTCTTTTTACTGTATGGCCCTGTAAAATTTCATTTCGGAATTCTATAACCATTAAGACATCGGTGTAACGCCAGATAGATTGATGAGATTCCCTTTAGACCTAACCTGTATCAAGTCGTAATACATTCGATCAATTTATCGACTGGCGAACGATTTTCTGAATCCAGAGTCCAGAAAATCTCGACTCATAAAGAGCCCATTCTATCACATGAAAAATAATATTAAGGAGTAATTACTAAGCATTGCTGCATTTTATTGGAATTATATATCATATTAGGGTAATTATTTTAAACTGGAAAGCACGAAATTATTACAGTTTCGGATGCATTTCCAAATGAACAAGTTATTTTTTTATGTGAATCATGTTTGGATGTGAATGAAGTTTAGATATATTTGTCGTTACATTTGAGACTGCTCCCTGCGTTTGTCCCAAAAAGTGGAGAGTTGGATGGTTTACCGGGACAAGATGTTCTAAACATTAACGTTTGCCCAATCGGGTTAAATTAGGTTGACATTGGCTCTGACTGTAGATTTTAATAGTAACATTCACCGTATGCCAGCGATTGAGTCTACAACCCATGGGACCAGTGATGAGCTGGAAAAATCGTAACAACCGGAACACACCAAATTCGTGAAAATGTAATAAATATTTACAACACGACGCTACCAGTAATTTTGTCTGTCGTAAGATAGAGCCGAAGAACCACAATGAAATATGGAAAAATTATCTGAAATATGACTGTTTAAAATTGAAAGATTATTCATACTAATTCAATACAAATGTTATTATTAGAAAGGTATTGGATGAATTTTCACGGGGGTCAAAGGTCGGCAAACATCCATTACACGTTACAGCTGTGCACTAATTTGCCAGCTGTAATGTAAAACGAATTATGATGCAACAAAACATCAATTAATAACCGCAGAAACTAGACTTTTCGAACCATAATTTTATTTTGACAACAGAAACGCAAACGCAATAAAATGTCCAACAACCGGAACGCCGTTCCGGTGCGTTCCGGCTACAGCTCACCACTGCATGGGACCATGTATACGTATGAATACATATTTACAACCCACACATATTTACACTTTTTCACATTTTTGGTAATGAATTAGGTCAAAAGATTGTTTTGTTAAATTATTGTTATTATGATGCTCCTATTTATACACGAAATGTTATTATTAACTACCGGACCAATTGCTTTATTGTTATTATATTGTTCTTTTTGGACACTTTATGTAAATATGGATCGTTTTGTTTCTAGTCATTCTTTTCCTCTCCGTTATCTGAAAAAATTGCTTTACTAATCAGCTACCGGACCTATCGGCCCTGTAAAATATTTGATATTACAATTGTGACTCAAATCAATTGGTGTTTCGATTCGCGTTGAAACTGGGAAAATGAATCATCATCACCGAATCATCAGTATTGAACAAAAATGCAACATTAGCAGTGACATATGTGTAATATACACATTAAAGGCCTAGCTGTCATCGGTGGCAGATAACTCATTGCCAAGTGCAAGAACGAAACAAAGAAGTAACTCCAAGGTAAATTTTTTTTTTCAAGAATTATTTATTCGTAGACATAAAATTATAACTTGATTTTTATAGTATTTTGATTGGTATTTATAGATTATTATTATTGCACTTTATTGTATATTATTCTTTATAAAGAATATTTAATGAAAAGGCCGTTTATCGGAGGGATAAAAATCTGTATAAAATATCTCTTTCTAAATTTTGGAACATTTTTGCCTCCACTTCTCAAAGACGTTGTAATTGCTTACTCTCTAATACTTCTTCGGCCAAATCCACCATATGTATTCAAATATTCATTGAATATTTGAAAAAGTTATTTTTTGTTAGGGATGAGTCAGGCCAGCCTACAAGGTAATGTTTCCCAGCCTTTTTAGCAGCGGTTTATTTCTTGCATAAGAATGCTCAATGTGTCACAGTTTAATTTTAGTTCCTGAGTTTACTAAGTCAAAAGATTCCGTCCGCTAAATTTAGATTTTTTGTAGAAGTTAGCATATATTGATTTTTCTGAAAACTTTATTGTTTTTCTTCTAGTCCTGGTAAGCCCCATCCCTGGCAGAAACCACGACCTAAGCCAAGATGGTTTTGGATGCTCTGGAAACGTCGTTCCTCCTATATAGGAGACGAAAAACAACCTACTGACGAACAAATAGAGCAGCTGGACGATATTCTTGAACGTGCAAATGTGCTCGATGAAAACTTGGCTCATGCTAGGATCTTACTCTGATACAAACCTATAGTGATCTTCGTTAAATTTTGGTAAAAAATCCCGGGGCGGATTCTATTTCTGTATGGAACGTAGGTTTCCCATGCATTTTAATATTATCGTTTCCATAAAATTGGTAAAAACTGTCCGTTATACTGATACAGAAATGTAAACACTTTGTATATTCTAATCATTTTTTAAAATCATAGCGTTATTGGTTGCGTTGCATTAAGTGTTTAGCAATGTTCGCCTGTTTCCTGTGCTCATGACTTTGTAGTTGGTCCTTATTTGTACTTTGAGTAATTTTTATTCTTTCGTCAACTCTACTTAATTAATAGTGATTTCGTAGGTCAAGGGTGTACAAACTGCGGCCCGCAAGAAAAAATGTGCGGCCCACGGAGAAGAGCCAATTTTGAAAGGTGTGCCCTCGAAACGAGATTTTAGTTCATTCATTCTGGTACGTGCGAGCAATACCAATCTCTTTGCGTCGCAAAGCCTATACCAGTACCTGGGCGCCACTGCCATATTAGAAAGACTGGCCAGCAAAGTCCGACGCTCCCGAAGTATGTGTCCAAGATGGCGCACTACCTGAACCCCAACCTGTTACACATACTATGTTCAGGTTAAACGCCATCTTGGTGCACATACTTCTGGAGGTCCCAAAATCCTGTTGAAAAATACACAATGTTATAAAAAACGTATTTCTCAGTGAATTCGTTTTAAGTCGGTGCGACAATAAATTTGAATAGCAGTTTCTCTAGACATTTATTCGTTTTAACTCATCATTCCCGCATAGACCCCTAACAATGTCCTAAAATCAACAAAACAAAAAAAAAAATTGTGTCTGGAACTACTAGCAAGGCTATTTCTTAAATGAAGGTGAGGCCCACGGCTTTACCCAGTGACCTGTTCCTGGCCCTTCTGTAATAAAGGCACACCCCTGGACTCTACTAGATATAAACAGTAATTATATAAATACATAGGTCATACAAAAAAGAAGAAATGAGGTTACCAAGAAATTCAACTGCCTGATGGACCAATTTGAAACAAATCTGAGACCAACGAAGTAAACGATCTCCCAAATACAACTGGAGGAATGTCATAACCTTGCATTGAACAAACATCCGTTTAAGAGCCTCTCTCTGCCTCCCATTATTGGAATCATAATTGCAAATAAATTAGTGAACAATGCCGTTTTGCCCTTTGCTGAGTGTATTATTATTGGGTCGGTACTGAGAGGATGAGTGGCAGATCAGCCGTAATTTACCACGTAATTCAATTTTCTGTTCAGCAATACGGTTTTTTGTTGAATTTTATATTTCGTTTTAGTCTTATCGAGTTTTTTTTTTATTCTCGCTCCAAGGAATTATTGCTTATTGCAGGAATTATTATGTCTTGCGTCGATAACAATGCAATGCAGCCGGCGCAGCACATTCCGAACAATACCGCAGGGTGGAATGTGGTTGCAGTTGGTCGAGCTCAGGGGATCAAACTCTTTAATACTAGCACGGAGTCAATCTCTTAAATACAACTGGAGGAATGTCATAACATTGCATTGAACAAACATCTGTTTAAGAGTTGCCTCTCTCTGCCTCCCGTAAATGGAAGCATAACTCTAGTAATAACATCAATCCCCCAGACAGAAAAGGTGAAACACGAGAATATGCAAGCACATTGGTTTCATTAAAGTTCCTGGGGAACGTGGAGATATTTTGCAATGAATGAAGATAGAAAAACACTGAGCTATACAGTGTTTGTCTTCGCTCGCTAATAAAATTTGATAATCTCTTCGGAGGTAGAATCAGTGAATAACACATGTCATGCACCAGTTTAATACTCAAAAACAATTTGATCGGGATTGGCAATAGACGAATAGGACAATATTCACATTCCGACAATCAATGTGTTTAACAGCGGAAACAACAGTATATATCCAATTTTTTCAATCCGGTAAGGAGAGTCACACAAATATTTCTGTGATCAATTTCAATAGAACAACTTGGTAATTGCGCGGGAAATAATGGTAAAAGTCAAAATAAAAAATTTTACTCACATTTTTGAAATTATAATTCAACAAATTATAAAAACAAAACCCTAAATACAGGTGAATATTTAAGTGTTTATCTTGAAGAATTCAAAATGACGAAGTACACGAAGTTTCGCATAGGCGCCAAGGTATGATTTTTAATTGAAAAAATATAATTCCGGCTCTGCACAGTTGAGAATTCAGTGAACGTCCTTACACACCACGGTACATCTCGCATACATTGTTATAAACGTACTCACTGTCTCTTTAGCAGCCCAATAGCAAGTTCATTACGGAAATGCCAATTCATATATATATGTTGCAATTCACCTCTGTTTATAACTGAATACATATTTAAAATAAATCGTTACACTTTTTTTTTGGAAGATGTTCGTTATACTTGAGTCTACTCTCATTATATTCAAATACACACTAAACTATTAACATATATTCCCATGCAAATGAAGTGCTGCAGTCGACAAATTCTGTTATTTTATTTATTACACATTGGAGACATTTAAAGCACGACTTCGTGTTAAAGCAAATCATCCATTTTCTTATGTATTAAAACTCATCATATTCATTAGGACGACACGGAGGTATTCGAAGGACTAACAATGAACGAAGCGGCAAAATTTATATCAAAAACTCCTGCTGGTCGTAAAGTAAGTCAACTACGCTGTTTTATTGTATTCCCATGATTTGAAAAATTGAAAAAAATCGCCCCAATTTGTAAAAGTTTAATTTAATAATGTCTAATCTAAACTAATCCTGGAGCGTATTTCAATGTTAGAGACAAGTAGTGACCACGACTGGATTTACATTGTTGTAGCATGAGTTTGAATACAAATTAACAAAACCCTTCATTATGTGAATTGCAATAATTAATATGTAAATCAGAGTATCAATTTGACAACTACTTATTTAAATCCTTGCCTAATGGAAGAATCGGTGATATTCGGACACGATAATTTGTTACATTATATATTTTAATACCTCTCAAACGTTTTACAATTAGAATATTGACGACAGTTTCTATATATGCGATTTCGGCGATCTTGCAAAGAGGCATGAAAGATGGAATGAGTTATTTCCCAACACGTCTCCATTTTATGCAGTGAAAGCCGCTCCATATCCACCAATGATTAGGTGTTTGTCTGCAATGGGTGTTGGATTTGACTGTGCAAGTCAGGTGGGTAATCTAATTGCAGATATATACTATGTAAAACTTGTAAGTATAATGCTATTATAAAACCATTACCTTGATATTTATAATCACTATATAGGTGTATGTCAGTACGAGTACATAAATAGGTTAGTATAACCACATGAGTGGTACGAGGAATTGTCTGCTGAAACGCAGAATCCGAGCGCGGTACAAATATTGATAAGACACTTGTATTCTTGTGATTGCAAAGTCAGATAAGACTTTTCCCATCTAACAATATTATAACAGGAAAAGTATATATGACTTCTTGAAGTGTATTATCTAAATTATCTTGATTTTATTTCATAAGGAAGAAATTGATTTAGTATTAAACAATGGATCAACTCCGGATTCTATCATTTTTGCCAACCCGACAAAATCAGTCTCACATATTATTCATGCAAGAGAGAAAGGAGTAAAAATGTTGGTATTCGACAGTGAACAGGAACTTCACAAAATCAAGGAACATTTCCCAGATTCAGAGTAGGTTTACATTTTCAGCTTTTATATCAATTTGTATACAATTATAATTGAATAATTATTAATTAAATATAATTTTAAAGATTTTGTTAAAAAATCATAATCAGGTACCGATAAAATCAAGCATTTAGTATTCAAAATATACGCAGGATAGGATGAAAAATGACATAAAAGAAAAAATAAAATTTGTCCTTATTTTGAAGGTTTTGTCTTAGAAAATATTTTTGTTCTTATTTCTAAGAAACGTCCTTATTTTAACATGTGTCCTTATTTTTGTCCTTATTTTATGGGTAAATATTTTCATACCAGGCACTGCTTTTTTACGACCTCATTGATTGCTATGCGCGTTCATTACATAATGACAGCAAATTGATTGACACAATGACAAAACAATACCCTTCCGATCAAAATCAGTTCGTGTAACTTGAATCAAAATATAACTTAATAAAAGTGAGATGGAGCAGATTGTTTCTAAGAATAAAGAACTGCTGGAGCAAATCCTGGATGGTTAGACACTGGTCGCACTGGGATGAATACATTTTGTTTATTACATTTCGTTATTCTATTATTATGTTTCCCTGATGTCCTTATTTTTGAGATCATATCGAAGGCAGGCTTGGCAGCCCTACATATAAATAAAAACATGGGAAGGACGTATCGTGTAAATATATTTTAACAAACGTTAGCTAAAAATCGAGTAACGTGATATTCACTACTACTTTATACGCTGTTGTAATTTCAAGGTTGATTTTACGAATAATGGTCGAAAATCCAATAGCCGAGCTTCCTCTCTTCGGCAAATTTGGTGCAACAATGGAAGAATCTCGACATCTTATCAGCGTTGCACACTTAACCAAGATGAAGATAATAGGAATAAGGTAGTACAACTATCAATTAATTCTTGATATTTGATTATTATAGAATGTCATCAGAATTGGAATTCGATTAATTTCATTTGTGTTTGAGCTACTAGGCTATCCTATATGTAGCTCAAAGACTTTAACTGTGCTTGGATTAATAATTCACATTAATGTAAATGTAGAACTCAAAAATAAAAATAACTAGCATTCAATTAGTAACAAATTATATGTCGATAGGCCCGATTTTATAGTAATTTTGATATAATTCGTATGCTGCTTGTTATACATATATTTTTTGGATATTGAAATCCGGTTTCTCGTTTTGATTAACTCTTTAATAGCAATTGCAACGAAAACATCTTCAGATAGTTATGCAAAATAATGTTATAGAATATTAACTTAATGATTACCTAAATTTAGTTTTCATGTTGGTAGTGGATGCCTTGATGCAAATTCCTGGACAGGCTTTCCTGGACTTTTTGGATCCGCTTTGTCCATTGAGAAAGTATACAAATTTAAATTTTACTTCCGCCAAGTTGTTTTTCCATTACTCTTTGTCACTTTTGATGGCTTATATCCTTTGATTTCTCCCTACTCTTCACTTTTCTTTTGTGGCGCACCTCTCATCTTTTCGCATCACATATCCACGTTTTAATGTTATGTTAATGGTTTGTTTTGTACTAATTCTACAACTCTCCATGTTTGCACGTAAAATACAAAGTGTTTTCAGATAGCGTCGACCGTGAATGCCTCGTTAGAAAAATATTTTCCCTTTGAAATATTTGATAACTTGAGAGTTATAGCGGAGCCGGGAAGATATTATGCCGCAACCACGTTTGTTTTGGCGACAAAAGTGATAAAAAAACGGGGTAAGTGATTTTATGAAAATATCAATCAGTTAAAAGTCGATTATTTAAATAATCTCCATATCAACCATGCGCAACTTTATCGAATTTGTTGATACTTTAATTAATGCAGAGAATTGAGCACATACTGTCGCAGAGGGACTTAATTTCGAGTTTACATAATGTGTATATATATCTTAGAGCACACAAAAAAACCTAATGTGGATGTTGAATACACTATCAATGAGGGAATCTTCGGATCTCTGCAGTTTTCGTATGGCAGTTTACCAGGAGAGTTAACTCCTTATGTTCCGGAGGTAGTATATCGTAATATATATTATCCTCATTGTTTGCAGTTACCAGTTATAGTTCGCGATTTCTGAGTACAGATATTTGGCGATTCTTTTTGTCGAAGTAACAAAAATACACGGTATTTTCATCATAGGAAAAAGCAGACAAGGATCGCCATTATGCTTTGCTGTGGGGTCCAACTTGCGACAGTCGCACTTTAGCGAAGAGAATGTTGGTGCCAAAATTGAACTGCGGCGACTGGCTGTTTTGGAAAGGTAATATATATACACTACGCGAAAGCGAATTTGCAGACAATAAGATTTTTTGACAAAACGCCATGTTTATTTCTTTATTAAACAGATGCCGGAGCTTATACTTTTGCACGTTCAAGTGGTTTTAACGGATTCAAAACAACAGCATTTTACAACATTGTTTCAACAGAAAATGAGTTAGTACTGATTTTATCCTGAATTCCCCCTCATGATCAAATTAATATAACGATTTTATTTTTCACACGAATAGATACTTTGAGGGACAAAGAGCAGTTGATGACAAACAAAAGATCGAACGTTCCACTGGTTTGAACTTATCGAAAATTAATATATGTAACGGTATTTTACTTTAATTCAGGGCGATATTTTGGTCCCTCATGAATGAAAAAGCCGAAACATTATTAAAGAGATAAGAAGATTGTCAAAAGTTGCCATTTGATGAAAGAAAAATATCAAGCAGAATTATATAGTTTATGTTTATATTGTTTAAATAATTTTTATTGTTATGAATTATTATACAATAAAATAGTGTACTGCAAGTGCCCGAACTTTTTTCAACTGTTGAAAACTCAAATTCGTCTCCTTTTGAAGACAACTTAGTTCATAACAAATGGAGTAATTTTGTTGTATAGCAGGCAGTAGGCCATTTCTTAATTCTTCCTTTTCACTGTATGGCACTGTAAAATTTCATTTTGGAATTCTATAGCCATTAAGACATCGGTGTAATGCCAGATAGATTGATGAGATTCCATTTAGACCTAACCTATATCAATTCGTAATACATTAGATCAATTTATCGACAGGCGAACGATTTTTTAATTCCAGAGTCCAAAAAATCTCGACTCAAAAAGAGCCCATTCTATCACATAAAAAAATAAGAAGAAGAAGTAATAATTACTAAGCATTGCTGTATTTTACCGGGATTATATATCACATTCGGTTAATTATATTAAACTGGAAAGCACTAAATTGCTATAGTTTGGGATGCATTTCCAAATGGTCAAATTATTTTATGTGAATTGTGTTTAAATGTGAATGATGTTTAGAGACATGTTGGTCTTGACATTTGAGACTGCTCTTTAACTACCAGACCAATTGCTTTATTGGACACGAAGTGGACATAACGATCGTTTCAAAATTTTGTTGTTATTGTTATTTGTCTCCGTCTCCATTTTTAAAAAATCGCTTTTCTCTTCGAATACGAGACCAATTGCTTTGAAATTTTCAGTGGTTAAAGATAAAAATTTTTTCCAGAAGGCTATCACTTTTTTTTCGCTATGACGTCATCAAAATTATTGCCATTGGGTGGCGCTACGTGTCCATATATTTGAGCATAGCTCTCTTGTTGTTAATATAATTCTTCTCCTGGCCACAAATGTAAATATATCGTTTTGTTATTAGGTTGTTGTTGCTAGTCATTCATTCTTCTTCTTCTCCCTGATGTGAAAAAGTTACTTTACTTATCAACTACCGGACCAATCGTTTCGAAATTTCTAATGGTTGAAGATGTGTGTGATGACGCCATGAAAAGAAAACCTTGCGCACCTTGTGACGGTTCCGCGGTCGCGTTAGGTATTTAACTTTTGACAAATTGCATGTTGATGAAAACAAATTAAATAAAACTGGTTATAGAATCGGGAGGGCAAACACACACAATCACCGAGACATGAAAAAAAAGAAAAAAAAATATACCAACAAATGAAATTAAAATAAAACGAGTAAAATTTTTGCCACACCAAATTAATAAATGTTATGAGGATTGCCAAATTGGATACTGAATTAGTCAACAAGAGTTATATATTGTGGATAGAAAAATATTCCTTAAAAGATCTCGTCAAGCTGATTATAATTGGAGTCACCTAATGACAAATTGCCCAACCAGAATTGCCATGTTGGATGTATGAAGAGGTAGGCTAAACCTGCTTCAATCACCAAATAGAAGCCGAAACTAGCCAAATTAATGTCCAAATTATTCTAAATACTATTAATCAATAAAAGTACCGGTAATATAATTTGGATTAATTATTCAGGCAGTATAATACCGAAAGGTAGGAAAATCGGTTACGGGAATATATAGGTTATTAAAGGTTCAAGTAGGTTTTTCAAAGTTATGGATTATAGACAAGGAAATTTAATTGAGGTTGTTTATCACTGGGTCCAGTTCATATTCATCACGGATGATCCATCAGGCTGCAAGTTTTGTTGATGTATACCCTTTTTATGTTTAAATTAGCTAGTCTTCAAATTGATCATCATTGTGTCCTGAAAACCGAAAAATATTTCTGCGAGTACAATATTCAATGATTGCAAATAAGGAGAAAAAAAACCATCCTACAGAAGAAGTTGTTGATTTCTGTAAATATCGATCAATATTAACTATCATTAGTTTGTTGTTGAAAGATATGATAAGGAGAAGATTGTGGTTGGGACACAGGAGAGATTGTTGCGATTTTTACAAAATTTATCTCGTGCAAATCGCAAGGGTTATTAGCGACCTTTCGTACCTCCCTAAAATTTCAAAAGAGGGAGGTGGTGGTTCGAACCCCTGGCTGCGTCGCTGAATGAGAGTAACTGGTGATTAGAGAACACTGAGATTATGACAAAAAGGATTCCATCAATATGATCTCCTTCCAACGAAAGCGCCAGCGAGGTGAAATGCTTTGTGATAATTCTGACTCTTGGAGAGAGTGCAATCGCCCCTCTGTCGCCCTCTTCGGGTTTTTCACCCACTGATTCAACTGAAGCCTATGAAACACGGGAATGTAATATAATAATGCCACAGCATTTGTCATAAGAAGAGATACGTTGTATCATATAAACACAGTGCCAAACATGTAGACTTCCACCGGCACTCCAATTACTGTTATGGCTGAAACGAACGAAACCGCAATTGATAATGCAACTGGTATCTAAAAAATAAGAACCTATGTTTTGGTTAGTTTTAAGTCAACTTAATTTGCGAAGATTGCTTTAAGATCGCACTCAAATATGAGTGCACACCCACAAACGATATATTCATACCTAGAAGACATTGTACCAAATAATTGCCCTACATTATCGTTACAATGTTTATTATGATCGCTAACAACAGAACTGACGTAGATGCCATATCTCGCAATGGAAGCTTGAATTCAGTGCAATAAAGATCATATGTTTACGGATGAAGGATATCAACTGATTCCAGCGCAAAATGAGCTATTCTGGTGCATTCCGCACTTCAGTTGTGATTTGATAAATGACAATGAAGAAATATATAAATACTATGGTACTTTGAACCATAATATTTTACCGGTGATATTTTTCTTCCACCAAAAAAATAGTTGTGGGTAGATTTGCTTTTGCAATCTTTATATCCAAAGAGAATTCCAACAATAGCAGATAGAATGAAAACAGCTGAAAATAAATGATAGAATTTGCAATATAATGCAAAAGAAATATAAAGAAATTATTCCACTAAGATCATTTATATCTAGAGCATTGACCTGGATTGGTTAAACTGTTTATTCAATACCTATTTTCGGGAAATTTGTTTGTAAGTATGCATCCCAATAAAAACAGTCACTCGAAATATGTTCTAAACGATTTTTCGACAATATCCAAGGAGTATTGTACCATATATAATACTTCCTTGCTGCTTGTACATGCAACTGCATTACAGAATTTTATTCTAGGCAGCAGATATGTCTAGCACATTTGCATTTGAGGGTGTTCCAGCTTTTGCATCATTTAGTACTGCCGTGAACAACATACTAATACTATATTTAGAAAATACAAATATGAAAAACTTCGATGAGAATTATATAAAAATTATACCTACAAATATATATGAAAAAATCAGATGCTTGGATTTGTTTTTTTATCGATTCCATAATGCGTTAATCAATAGTTATGATTTTTATTTATATGGTAAACTATAGTAAATACTGGTCTGTAAAACCACTGGATAAAATGAAAGTATAATAATTGTCACTTTGACTCTTCTACTTTATTCCGACACAACATCATTCTAACCTACAAATCATCACATACGACTTAGACGAAACAGCTTAGCATTAAAAATTAGTTTTCTGAAAATAAAAATGTGAAAAATGCTTATATTTGCGTACTAATACAATCACATTACTCATATTTGGATTTATAAAAGTGCCTTATATTTATCATATTAAAACATTCCTCCACAAATAATTCTCACTAAAAAATAATGTATATTCACAGCAGAATGAAATTATTCAATCAATAATACGCTTATCTAAACCCTCTCATGACTCCCTGAATATCGAAATACTCTAATATTGCTATCAGCAAATAATATCCAAGTAAAACATATCATACTAAACGAAAATTCAACATGAATAAATATATATATTGTAGTCTGGATTTTAATTTAATACGATATGCGAATAACCCTACATTACATAGTCCTTTATTATCGGCCTGTCTCGCCTTCACCTACTTGATTCATGTTCAACCTACTCTGACCATGTATTGTTGCAACCTCAGTAGAAAAAAATTTATGACATGTCACGAGTTCACGATTCCACCTCTCAGTAATATAGGTCATTGGACTGGGACTCATCCAAACAATTTTATTTCGATATGCCATGGACATTTGTATTTTTGCCCCAGATTCCGCAGATCGCGGATTGACTCCGTGCTAGTAATAAAGCAAGGCTGCCCAACCCACGGTCCGCCGAACTGTTTTTTGCGCCCCGCCCTATAAAGTTTGTAGGCAGACTTTTTGTGTTTTTACTATGTTATATATCAATATCTAGGGTTAAGTACGTTTCTGATTTTGGTGTGATTGTTCCTGCCATTTATCTACATTCAAATACCGGTTCTTATTATTACGTATATATAAGTCAAGTCTTGCACCCTGGTGGACATATACGTCATTTTATTTTTATTTTTTTCGCAGAACTAAGCGTTCTGTTCGACGAACTCGAAAGATATTGTGCGATCATTGAGGACGAACGAATGAATGTGGACCCTAAATTTGCGAATTAATTTATCATGATTGTTATCTTACGTGTCTGCTTTGACTGTCTTTATCGTCAGCGTAAAATAAAATATCAACAATATCTTTGGTAATGGCAATATCTTCGGCAAAGGCGAAGCGAAGACATTGTTCGCCAATTTAGTTTAATTTAACAGCGGTCTTGATTTGAATCAGTATACATTTTCAAAAGATGCCGATGTTATTTAATGAAGTTTTGATGATAACAAGCATGGTTTCCCACGAAAATTGCCAAACAGTTTTATTAAAATTGATCATTAAATGTTTGTGTGATTCTCTTTTCCAGATTGCTAAAATTGAATACTGTTGTTTCCGCTGTTAAACACATCGATTGTCGAATGATCCTAGTGAATATCGTTCTATTAGTCTCTTGTCGATCATGATCAAAGTGTTTGAATCATATAAACTAAAGAATGGGTCACTTACAACTACATGCTGTTTTTAGGGAAATGTGTTATTGAATAATAAACTGGTGCATGACATGATTCATTGAGTCTACCTCCAAAAAGATTGTCAGATTTTATTAGCGAGCGAAGGAAAACACTTTATAGCTCAGTTGTTCTTCAATCTTTATTCATTGCGAAATACTTGGGACGGCTAAATTTTTTCACGGCCCACAGGAACTTTAATGAGAACAATGTGCTTGCATATTCTCGCGTAAAAAAACAAATCCTGGCTCTAT